GGTTTTACGATTTATTTTGTCTCCTTTTTTTTTATTCTGCTTTCGAGTCATAATTTTCCATGCATGATGAATCTTCCTCAAAATAAAAAATGAGTCATTACGGTTTATTTATTGTCATTGATAAAAAAAAAAAACTCAAGGTCTCAGGCTCGTGATGCATGACGGTCAGCGACGAGACGATCACCGCAGGAGGCGACGACGAAGGATCTCCGGCGTGGCATGTAATCCTTCGAAATCATTAAGGTCGTTCGTGGTCAAGACGAGAATGTTTTCTTCCTCCTCTCAGCTGGCATGGGTTTATTTTGTGTATGTGTGTGTGTGTGTGTGTGTGTGTGTGCGTGTGTGTGTGTGTGTGTGTGTTTCTTTTCTTTTCTTTCTTTCTTTCTTTTTTCTGCTGGAGGGTTTGTTAAATCAGAGACGATAGATTTACTATTTATTTGTCTTGAGCGAAGACACGCCAGATTTGTGGTTCATTTTATGGTATGATGATATATCAGCTGGGGTCGCTCTCCCCCTCCCCCCCTCATCCTCCCCTCCTCCCCCTACATATACACACACACCCTGCCGCCCAGCATTCCCTAACTCGGAATAAGAAACAATGGAATAAAAAGAAAGAAGGAGGAGATGAAGAAGAAGGAGAAAGAGATGGGGAAGGGGAATGAAAAGGAGAAAAAAAAGAAGGAAGAGGAGAAGAAGGAGAAAGAGAAAGGCAAGGGGAAGGAGAAGAAGGAGGAGAAGGAAAAGTAGAAGAAGAAAAAAGAAAAGAAGAAGAAGAAGAAGAGGAAAAATAAAACATGCAAATCATCTCCCATCTTGAAATTAGCGACGAAATACCAATCTCTTAAACCAAAGATCTAATTGATTCATCCAAATATACCCGACTAATCCAAACATGCCGAGAGAGCCTGTGAATGCCGATCAACAATCCCTTTCTATAAGCAGTATCTTTCTTTTATTTGTTTTTTGTTGTTGTTTTTTGTATCATTAGTTTAGTTTCCAGGTGTCAGTTCCTATCAGAATTATGCGACGTCGCCAGCCGCTTCGACATCATATCTTCATTAAACCATTAGAGCGAAGAGATTGCTGGAGGTGTCTCGGGAGATAAGACGTTAGCGGAGGAGAGGGATGCGGCGATAGTGGTTGTTGTATTATCGGTCTTCTTGTTGTATTATCGGTCTTCTTGTTGTATTATCGGTCTTCTTGTTGTATTATCGGTCTTCTTGTTGTATTATCGGTCTTCTTGTTGTATTATCGGTCTTCTTGTTGTATTATCGGTCTTCTTGTTGTATTATCGGTCTTCTTGTTGTATTATTGGTCTTCTTGTTGTATTATCGGTCTTCTTGTTGTATTATCGGTCTTCTTGTTGTATTATCGGTCTTCTTGTTGTATTATCGGTCTTCTTGTTGTATTATCGGTCTTGTTGTATTATCGGTCTTCTTGTTGTATTATCGGTCTTCTTGTTGTATTATCGGTCTTCTTGTTGTATTATCGGTCTTCTTGTTGTATTATCGGTCTTCTTGTTGTATTATCGGTCTTCTTGTTGTATTATTGGTCTTCTTGTTGTATTATTGGTCTCCTTGTTGTATTATCGTCTTTCTTGTTGTTGTGAGAGCGGCGTCATCGCGAGGGTCGATCGGCGCGAGAGAGAGAGAGAGAGAGAGAGAGAAAGAGAGAGAGAGAGAGAGAGAGAGAGAGAAGAGAGAGAGAGAGAGAGAGAGAGAGAGAGAGAGAGAGAGAGAGAGAGAGAGAGAGAGAGAGAGAGAGAGAGAGAGAGAGAGAGAGAGAGAGAGAGAGAGAGAGAGAGAGAGAGAGAGAGAGAGAGAGGAGAGAGAAGAGAGAGAGAGAGAGAGAGAGAGAGAGAGAAAGAGAGAGAGAGAAGAGAGAAGAGAGAGAGAGAGAGAGAGAGAGAGAGAGAGAGAGAGAGAGAGAGAGAGGGAGGGGAGGAAGGGGGAGAGAATTCGACGCGTTATAGAAAGTGATCCAAATTTGCTGTGGGGTCTTGGGGTGTTAATTTCTGCTTTCAGGTTGTCAAGAGTAAAAAAAAAAAGGAAAAAAAGAACATTATGATAACAAAGCAAGAATTAAAGCATGTTATTGATAGTAATGAGCAATGAAATTATAATATTGATATTTATAATCATATTGGTAATGGCGATGATGATGTAAAAGACAATTTAATATTAGTTGAAATTTTCAACGTAAAGATTAAGTAAGTTGAATGATCAGAAAATAATCAAAGAGACCTATGGAATAAATCACTTGATTTATATTATCCTTGAGCGCTCTGCCTAAACAGTATGTAAAGTTTTGACTAGTCACCCAATTATAATATATTTTCCCAACTGGTCTTGAATTAAGTTGACATTAACTAAGCTAGTCCGTTAAGTTTATGCAAAATAATGGTCGTCTCAGATTTATCTCAACAGTTGTATTATTGAGACGGAAAATTCTTCAAGACAGCGCTAGATTTATTTTCGCTTTTGCGCCATTAAAAGACATG